TCTCTCTCTCCTTTCTCCTAGCCTCAGGTTTAACACAATCCTTATTCCATTTCTCATATAAGTATCTGAAAACTCATTTTCTCCTCTTTCCTCCTCCCCTTTCCACAGCTACCTTATCCCTCCACATTGCCTTCCTTCTCCACATCTTCTTTATTCAATGCCTATGAGCTAATGCTGATTCCAACCTCTCTTGAGCTAGATCCTCATCCAAATAAACTCTCTCTTGTGCTATCCACTTTCTAAGATGCTTTTTTTCAAGTCTTCTCCTTACTGTCCTACTAGAAACATTGGGAGCAACTTGCTCAGCAATGTCAGAATAGGTAGTATGGTGATTTTTCAGAGCTTTCTCTATCATAGCATTATCCTATTACTTGGTAGTTTTAGGATATATTCCTCTATCCTTATTCTCCTTGTCCTCTTAATGTTCCTTTGTAATTGTGTCTCTGACAGTAGTGTAGGAGATATTATGATAGTGGAAAATTTGCTGATATCTCATCTGAGGCTCATTTAACCCGAGAATCCTCCCCCTGGTATACTCAGAGAGACATGTGGAGAGAATAGGTTTTTTAGCATAACGGCGAAGAATTGGAGGAATAGTTTATTAAAAAAAAGAATTGAGCAGAATGGTTTCTTTCTTGGTTGACTTAGAGCAATTTTTTTAGGTACTGTTGGGAGTGTGGGGTGATGAAGAGGGGTGGGTTGCCACTGGTTATTAAATCGTGGTTAATTTTGTCAACATACAATATTATGATTAGTTTATGAGTTTCTACATATGATCTTGCTACGAGGTCATGGGTTTTACGCATTTGACCTCTTTAGTCATATGACTAGTTTATTATGATTTAGTTTCACGCATGTAACCACTTGAGATCACATGACTTGGGGCGGGAAGAGTGTTATATAAGGAGGCCAGTATGACTGTGGAGGATAGGCTCTTCACACTTTATTCTAAGTACTTTTCCTACTTATTACTTTAATAAATAAAAACACCATTATGCTCTTTATCATTATCACAATCTTTATTAATATTACAATGAGAATACTCTTCATGAAGAAGAGTTAGAGAAAGCTTATGATAGATGTTCTTGATAGAAGACAAAAGTCTTGTATAATCCTGTCTGGAAAGTTTTCGTACCCCTGAGGTGCAATCCCACAACACCTCATCACCACAACAACTCTCCTTACCATGGCCCCTCCACATAACCTAAGAGCAACAGAAGACCTGAATGAGGAAATTTATACTCTGTATAAACATACAGATATGGGATATGACAAAAGTTTTAAGTCTTTAGGTGTATCCAAGTCAACTGTTCAGTTTGTGGTTAAAAGAGCTAAATCTAGAGGTGGAAACACTCACCATGCAAAAAGAGGTAGAAGACTAACCAAGATTACTGATATAAAAAGAAAGATAGTGGAGTCAGTTATTGATGCCGAGCCTCATTTAGCGTTATGTGACATTACCAAAAAAGTGAATATTGGTCTTGGTAAAACCACTATTGATAAGCTTATATCAGAAACTGGTTTTAAGCTTCTGATACCTAGGAAAAAGCCTATTTGGAGAAATGGACAAAAGGAGAAAAGAAGGGAGTTTGCTAGGAGAAGGAAGAACTGGAAAGGGGCAGGGAATTGGGTTGTTTTTGTGGATGAAGCTACCATTGTTTATGATCCAAATCCAATAGGCAGAAAGGTCAGAGTTAGACTTAGTGAAGAGCTGGAAGAAAAAAACTTAAAGCCTAGGTTTAAATCTGAAAGGACTAGCATTGGAGTATATGCTGCAATAATGAAGGGAGGAAAGACTAAGTTAATTCTTGTGAGAAGGAGGAGAGAGGAGGAAAGGACCAGCAAAAGAGACAGACTTGGCCTAAACTCTCACTAATATGCAACTGAGATCCACCAGCCTTACCTTATCCCTTTTATAGAGGGTCTGGATAGACCTTCTGACAATATCTACCTTGCTGCAGACAATGCTTTCTGGCATGGTGGTGAGGAAAATTGAAAATTGGAAGCAGACTGTAGTTACAAAAAACTCCCTTAGCCACCCAACTCACCAGATCTTAATCCTATTGAGAACACATGGGCACTACTCAAAAGAGCCCTTACCAAGTGATTCTCCAGACTGGAAAGAAGGCCTCATAGTGCAGCTGAATTGTTTGAGGCAGCAAAAAAAGAGTGGGATTTAATTTCCCAAAAGAAGTTGGATGGATAGATAGATAGGATGCCTGAGAGAATGCAAGCTGTACTGGATGCAAATGGAGGCCATACAAAATGGCAATAATGTTTTTTTATTGTCCACTAGCAATACTATCATGTTTTCTTTAATTGAATTCTTTACATTTTTTTTGAAATTTTTATGGTTGGAGGTTGTGGTTGTATGATTGTCATGGGAGGGTACAAAAACTTTCCGGACATGACTGTACTATTGATAACGTAGGCATATGCCTAGTGCTATTGTAAGGTAAAGAAGAAGAAAAGAAGAAGAGAAGTATCGTTCCCCATTACCAAGAACTAACCATCCGAAGGGAGATCGTTACAGTCCACTATATATTGGCTATAGATATAAGTTAGTTTTCTGATCCTGTACTCGTACTTGAACAAGAGAGTTAGTTGAACTCAGATACTTTGTATAGGAATTGTCACCTTAGTTTTCCAACCTTAATTTAGTTATGCTAATTCTATGAGAAACAGATTTTAAAGTTTGTATAAACTAATTGGTATAGGGAGAAAATGGAGAAGTTGGGAAGGAGAACGGAGATGACGCAGAAAATCAAGAACCAAAGACACCCAAGAACACATACTGTATTGTGACCCCTTCAATGTAGGATACAATCTGCCAACTTCGGAAACATGGGGGATGGACGTATCGCCAGCTACATGACAAAATTGATATACCGATAGAAGTCTGTCCCGTCTTCTCCATAGTCCACATGAGTTAGAATGTAATATGGATAGCCATAGGGGGGGGGGAAACCAATCTTTACCACACTAATCAAACACCATCTCATCAAAACAACTACAGCTAACTCGTATAATTACCGTCTTCTATTTGCGGATATTGCAACATTAGCTGGTGTTAAACCATCAAAGAGAACTTTATACCATACCTTTCAAAGCGAGGGCTACAATCGTCATCTTGCTAGAGTTAAGCCTTTTCTCACCGCAAAATCCAAAGAGAATAGACTTAACTGGGGTATTGACTTTCGTGATTGGGATGCAGATGACTTCAGCAATGTAATTTTCTCCGATGAAGCAGCCTTCAACTATGGTGAACTATCTTGTACTGTATGGGTTACAAGAATGGCTGGTGAAGAATATGATGATGATTGCCCTGTACCTTAATTCAAAAAACTAACAACGGTAATGGTATGGGGGGCAATCTGTAGAAGTTAAAAGTCACAATTCATTATTTGGGAAACAGATAACTGGGGCAAAATCTCCTCTCAGACATACCTTGATCGTATAATTTCTCCTGTTCTCTTTCCCTGGTGGTAGCAGCTATGTTAGCAGGGAAGCAATTCTGGCTACTTGTATTTTCAACAAGATGGCGCCTCTGCTCACACTGCCAAAAACACCAAAAGTAACTTACCAGACTGGGAATTGAACTATACCTGTTCCCCTGGCCTCTGAGTTCATCTGATATGTCACCAATCGAGGAGGTTTGGAAACGAATGAAATGAAGCATCACCTGCCGAAATCCACGCCCTACTACTGTTTCTGAGCTCCATATTGCAATTCTAGAGAAATGGGACAACCTTACACCTGCTGCAAAAGCTGACTTCACTTCCTCGATTCCAGAAAGGATTCATGATCTTATTGCAGCCGGCGGTAGCCATACCAAGTGGTGATCTTATCCTCAAATCTACAATGTTTTCCTACAAAGCAAGCCCTCAGCATACTGAGTACCAACCACCCATTTCCTTCTTTATTCTTTGATGTGCGATTCTAGGCAGTAGTTTAAAGCACTCTGAACCTCTTGCTTGTTGTACTTGGTGCTTATTATATAGGAAAGTATTGTCTAGTATATTACCTATCATTTGATTGTTGAATTACCTGATTTTTTCCAAATTGAATTACTTGATTGTTCACTTACCTGCGTTCTTGCTTGCTCGCTTGCTTGACTGATTTGTTGATTGATTGATTGCTTGATCACTCTTTTTCTTGACTTGTCCGAATAGTTCGTATGTTGATCGTTAGTTTACTCACTCACTCCGTCACTTGATAATTCTATGGTACGTTTACTTGTTTTATGCTTGATTGTTTATTATTTACTTGTTTTAAGTTGATCGTGTGGGTTTCAATCTTCCTGTGTATGATTGCTCAACTGAATTGAATTGATTCTCTTTTCCTCCAAGTTTATATTCGTAAGTCCTAGGGCAAATAGGCAACTACTCCGGGATTGTGACTTCCTTGATGCCCCTTTTTTTTATATGATGTCAATAGTACGATATCCGAGATTCCTTGTAGCGATCCTGTTTTGCTCGATTTTTACTTCCATCTCCGAGTACGAGTACGGTGGATAGTCTACGGTGGAAAAAACGTCCCGAGGTGAAATTCTAACTGAACCATGTAAAGTTTTTGAAGTCAATGGAGGCGTCATATCGTGATAAAGGATCAGCTATAATACCGTATCATCAGGAACGGCAAGCCTCGCTTCCCTACGAGTACTGCACACTACAATATCTCAGAGAACCCCAACGGCAGTGCAAACGCGAGTACGAGTAGGACCAGTATCATACAAATACAGTACGGACTTAGCACAACCCCGAATCCCCCCCTTCATGACAGCCCTACTCGTACGGTACCAGATCTAGGCGATATGGTGCAATAGCGCCGCATCCGCTTCTCCCGCACGAGAAGCACACCCTGCCATCCACGAGAGGTGGCCCAGGATAATTACCCCGCATACAACGCGCCTCCTTCCCCCTTCCCCCTTCCCCCTCCTCCTCCACCATAATTTTGGTATCACCCATCCACACAACCAACCGCACAACCTCCACCCCAAAATGACCGACCAAACCCCAATAAAGAAGAAAAACATAACAATCTACCTAACCGGCTTCGGAGTTCCTCTCACCCCCCCCCCACCACCAATCCTCTCCTCCCCTTCAGAACCAAAAACTAACATCCCCTCCGCCAGCCCTTCAGGACCCACACCCACAATTCCTCCTGGGCGATAATCTCCAGTTTCCAGCCACGCACAACCATCGCGACAGAAACGCACACAATAACACTACTGCCGCATCCGCACTGGTTGAAAGTCGCCTACTCCACCGTGACCTCCGAGGTCCCGCGCTTGCACACGGCCACAGACGTCGCCTTCGACTACATCCTCCACGTGGGCCTGGGCAAGGCGGGCGAGTACCGCCTTGAGAGGCGCGCGTTCGAGGAAGGGTACGTGTTCGGCGACGTGGACGGCAAGGTGCCCGGCGGGGCAGATGCGGCGCCCGACAAGGGGATCATGCAGAGCGAGAGTGCGGAGGGGCGGGAACCAGGCGGGCAGGAGTTTGGCTGCGCGCTGGATGTGCGGTGGATTGTGGAGGAAGGGGTTGAGAGGTTTCAGGTTTGTCTGTCTTGTCTGCTCCTTCGGAGGGAGGGAGGAATAAAGGAATGATGAGGGCTTATTGTACCGAAATTGAGGGTGGGGGTTTGGATACAGCCCGAGGAGACGCCCGACGAGGAATTACCCATCAAGGTTTCCGATGATGCAGGTAGGTTTCTGTGCGAATTTACCTATTACACTAGCCTTAAGGCGGCTTGCGAGAAGGAGGGGAACGGCAAGTTGAAGAGCGAGAAGGTGCTGTTTATGCATGTTCCGCCCTTGACCAAGCCGTTTGGGATCGAGACTGGGAGGAGGGTTTTGATTGAGGTTGCCAAGGCGATGGTCAAAGCTGGGGAGGAGAGAAAAGTTATTAGCTAGGGAAGCGCCTTTTGAGGTGGGCCGGGTGGAAATGATCTGTGTCGGCAGCCTCGGCCATCGGTTATGCCTTAACGAGTGATCGGCAGCGATCGCTTAGTTAGAGTTCACCGAGACCTAGGCACCTTTCAATCTTATCTATCAAGACGAGATTTTATGATGCCACTGAGCGATGTTATCTTTAGCTCGAGATGATTGCATGGTTGCAAGATATCGCCTACGAGACGCTAGGGGCGCAATAAATAATTGGTCAATTTTAATTGAGGCATTGTACTGTACTGAGGACTACTCTCGAAAATCATGCTCTATTTTTCCCCTTCTAGCCTATATATCCATCCAACGAAATCCTCCGCTTATCCCTTAGTAACATACAAATCGACGTACTCGTCGACATCCTTCTTGGAAATGCCATCAAGCTCCTTAGAAGCGTTCATGATGACATCGAACTTCACCTTTCCAAGACGCTTGGTAATATGTCTCTCAAACTTCTCTAGCAACAATGGAATACCCTCATCACGGCGGAACTTGTGCCCGACAGGGTACTCAACTGCTACCTCGTCCATAATCGTGCCATCCTTGAGTGTGATCTGGATGGCATTCCCGATGCTACGCTTGTCAGGTGCATGGTACTCCAGCGAATAAGTCTTATCCTCAACACATTCCATTTTTTCACGGAGGGCGTCAATGCGGGGGTCTGAGGCTACTTCATCAGAGTAGTCCTGTGTGGTGAGACGGCCATGGATGAGTGGGACAGCAACCATGTATTGGATGCAGTGATCACGGTCAGCATAGTTGTTTAAAGGCCCCTTCTTGTCAATAATTCTGATGGCAGCCTCTTGTGTCCTGATGCGGATGGAAGCAATGTCATCCGTGGTCTTTCCAATCTTCTTGAGCTCGTGGTGGAGAGTCATGGCAGCTTCGCAAGCGGTCTGGGAGTGGAATTCAGCCGGATACGAGATTTTGAAAAGGACGTTCTCCATAACATATGAACCGTATGGGCGCTGGAACTTGAAGCCCTCAGTTTTAAAGAGAACATCGTAGAAGCCCCATGTCTTAGCGGTTAAGACGGATGGGATACCGCCAACACCATTCTTAACGAGAAGAGCAAGATTGACGGCACGCGAGCAAGCATCTCCAGCAGCCCACGATTTACGTGACATGGTGTTGGGGACGTGACGGTAGGTACGGAGAGACTGGCCATCAACCCACGCCTGGGAAACAGCATCAATAGTCTGTTCGCGATTCAATCCTAGCATCTTAGAAACCACAGCCGTAGTAGCAACCTTAACGAGAACGACATGGTCTAAACCGACTCGGTTGAAAGAGTTCTCGAGAGCAAGGCACCCCTGTATCTCGTGGGCCTTGATCATAGCTTCCAAGACATCCTTAACCTTGGGCGCCGGTAGTCCTTTTGCTTTGTTTGTTCTCGCAAGCCAATCTGCCACGGCGAGAATACCGCCAAGGTTATCGGAAGGATGACCCCACTCTGCGGCCAACCAGCAGTCATTGTAGTCCAACCAACGGACCGCGGTACCAATGTTGAACGCTCCGCGGACGGGGTCAAGTTGGTAAGGGGTACCAGGAACACGGGTTCCGTTCGGTACAGTAGTCCCTGTAACAATTAGAGCTTGGAAAAGGGAGGGAGAAAAGGCAACCGCAGCGGGACAATCAAACCTTCCACAACAGGACCAAGCAAGTTCTTACACTGCTCAAAGTTCAATGCCTCCAATCCACATCCCAGGGTATCAATCAAACACAAACGGGCAGTCTCCCACTAAATATTGTCAGTTTCTGTGAGCCAATTAAGAGAGCAAGTGCACCTACAGCAAGCTGGGAAGTGATCTCGTAGCTGTGGACGTAATCGGCAATGTCCTGGAGAACCTGGTCAGGCTCTGGGCGAATATTCTGCTTCACAATCGAAGTAGGGGCAGACATCATACTCGAGCTCATGATAGAGAATTGTCTGGCCCTCAATACGGGGTTCAATTGACTGCGGAGGAGTGGGGTCGAAGCCACTCGGATAGCAGCAGTGCGGCGGAATAGTGTGCGGGGAAGTACAGCTCTGGTGGTCTGGCGAGGAAGGAATGACATGGTCTTGGCAAGGGGGTGACAACGGGAAGAGGAGAGGATACAAATGGAGGAACATGTACTCGGGCACCGTGAGAAAGAAAGAAAGGGGAGAGAAGGCGATAAAAGGGGAAGGAAGGAGGCGGAAGAATAGCTTTCTGATCTCTTGGATCGTGGTCGCCCGCGTCTTCTTGTGCCGACGATAACCACACTGTCGGCACCCAAGCCGAGGGCGGCCATGGGTTAACCTTCAGGTTGCAGGTAACATTCCGACCGAGAAAGATGTATGGTACGCCGATATTCTACATGTATCACATTCTACTCGTATCGTATCACATTGTCCCAGCTATTCTCAGTACTACTCGTTTAACGGTACTCGAGTACAATTCGTTCAGGCTTCCCACAAAATGAGTCCAAAACCGGAACCAATCCACCCTTTCTAGCTCCCTCTCAGTCCAGAACAGGAACCCACTGATTTTATGAGTGCATTAACTTGTCCTATGCTTCCATCCCCTCCGAGCTACCATCCTCTCCGGGCTCGCATCCCTTCTGGATCCCCGCCTCTTTTTGGCTCTCGTCCCTGCTGAGCTCCTGTCCCCCGTCGGTTGTCGGGTAACGTTGTATTTTTTGTTCATGTTGCAAAATGTGGTTAGATTTCCCCCCTCCGCACCCAGAGTGTGAGCATATAATAGGTTCGTCAAAATTACTCTTTATTTCCGCGGTACACCTTACGCCAACCTTCCCCTTTACATCTCCATCGAGATCCAAAGTTTTTTTTCACACTGCCCCTGCTAACAGCGTATGGCGAGTTCACTGCAAGTACGTTACCGTGCTCATCGCGTTCTATCCATCCTGCGCTGTGTGAACTCACAATTCGAACCCTGGTCCAGAATCTGGTGCGAGTGACACTACATGAGTACGAGACGGGGACAATAAACAAGGGACCCAGTGGAATGCTCCATTATCAGCCCCTCAAGGGTTACCTTAAAGTCGTTCACAGAACAGATACCGTGACACTTTGATTAGCAAACAGATACACCCTCTAAATGCGCGACTCCGCCAACCCAAAAAATACTAATGCCCTTACAAAAGAAAAGAAAGGAGTGTTTATAGGAAAGAAGACTTTTTTCTATCTACGAAACAGCACTCCACGCTGCGCATATATGCTGAAAAGAGGAATAGAAGGGGAAAAACAGTAAGGGAGGGGGGTGAAGGGGAAAAAATAAAGAGAGATAGACCGTAAACCTGCTAAATAACATTCATCTGCGGAGTCTGCTTACTCTGCCCGTCCATGCTCCTCACACTTCCCCTAGAGTCCCTCGTGCTTGGCCGTCCCTCGTATGGCGCATACCTCTCCTCCAAAGCGCGTGAATTAGGTCCTGGATACTGGGGCGGATGGTATGTATAACTGGTATATCTCCTTCCGGCTTCCTCGGTCGGAACTTCCTGATAAACGTGCCCGTGCGGCGGGATAACCTCCTCCCTCCAAGACCCAAAGTCCTTCTCCCGCATACCGGCAGTCCCCAGACCTTGTTGATCATTGGCCAACCCCCAGATGTCACTCTCCGTGCTGCCTCTCCTATCCCTCGGCAACCTGCTCAAAGTAATTCTCCCCGAGCGCCTCTTCTTCTTCTTCCCGTTACCGTATTGGCGCTTCTTCTTGAGGAGGGCCTGCGCGAAGAAAATAGCGACGCCCAAACACAGGAGCCCGGAGATCGCGCCAAAGATTATCAGAAAGATGCGGATGGTGTGGTTTGGTGCGCTAGGTTCGTTCTCCTGCAGGATCTTTTCGGTCGCCTTCGCAGCTTCGGAGTGGTGGGCCGTTGTTGTCGCGGTAGAGTTGTTTGGATGGAGTGCGCCATCTGGGACCACGAAACCGGAGGCCAGGTGAAAAGCTGGCAGAAGTAGGAAAAGCCCTTGGCGCATTGTTGGCAATATCCCTCCGAGGGAGGTAGAGTCTGTGAGATGAATTTGAACTGTGAATATGGCTCTGGATAATACCTCAAATCGAACTCTGGGCTCGAAAAAAGCCGGAATTTAGGAAGAGGGATTATGGGAGGGGAAAGTTTTTATTACCTACCTTCTATTCGACAGGATGAGGCGCGATGGATTATTTTGGGGAGAGTGCTTGTTTTTGTCGCCGGGTGTACAAGTACGGTGAATGGTTTCTCGGTCAGGGCAGGTGTGTTTGTGGACTGTGGAGCCCAAGACGGAAATGATCGTTGGTGTTTAGCAGCAAATCAACTTTATATGAGCGCTTAGAAGAGCAGCTTTGTATTCTGAACCTTAAAAAATTCGATGGGAGAGTTTTATATGATATCAAAATTTGCTTCCAACGGTTCGGGCTAAGACAAGGGCCCTGACGGGTCGCTTGTGACACCCATAGTAGCAGTAACTTAGGGCTGAGCATTGAGATAGGCTTTTACTACTCTCACTCCGCGCTCTTCAAACCTGTATGGATGGCACAGATAAAATATCTATGATAATTGTCATAATATTATACGAGGTTTATCATTATTATGTAGAGTACAGTACCAGCTGAAAATACATTCTTCCCCCTACACTCCAATAGGGTGTCCATACCCCCCCCCTCGGGTATCGGTGTCATCAAACCCGCCGGCAAACCATCCATTCCAACACACCAGTACTCTACCGTGCACAAACAGGTCATTTCCTCATACAAAAGAGAGAGCTATAATAAATCGATCCCGCAGAGTCCACCAAAGAATATTCAAGAGTTAAAACGCCGTATGATACAACAGCCAGTCTACCTCGACAAAAAAGAAAAGAAAAGAAAAGAAAAGTCTGTTTAGGCTCTGTTGGGCACGTACCAATAAAAATATATCTCGATATTTTCCGAAAACAGCATATATCCCCAATACCCCAGGGAGACCGATCCCAAAGAAGAAATTACTATGCCAGTCAGATAGTGGATGCGCCTCCACTCATTCTGTCCAAAAAGACAGAGTGAGACAGGGCCTATGGGTTGAGTATGATAGTAAGGAAAGCAGGAATTTTGCAAAATACTGTATTGCGGGAAAACATGTAAGCCACTGCTGCTTTTCCCCTTCCACAGGCTTGATAGTGGAAGTACCCACTACCTGATCATGATACTAATTTCTCCTTTGGGCTTGGCTTGCTTTGTGCGTATTATATATATAGAAATATTCTGTTCCAAATATCGCGATTCATTTCCATCGGTACGATATTCTGATACATGCCGAACGGAGGCCTAATTCTTACCCAAATTTGAGAAGACGGTATTCTCTAATCACCCTTTGTCACTCGCTTAAGTACAGGCAACCATCAACCTAGCTTACGAAACTTTTATCTGCCACTCAAAACTTAGGCAAAAGGGGCGAAGGGGCACCAAACTGTGCCTAGCATCGCGATCCATCAGGCTCTGGCCTAGGGACCTCCACTCCCCGGCGCGATCCCTGGCTATTAGTATTAATATGTGAGACCGAGCATTAGATAAAATTCTCTTCGCGAGATTTATGCTCGGGCAGAGCCAAGGGCGCATGCAGTGCTATTGCGCCAACATATCCTGACCGTAGCTCATAGTCTCGAACTAAGCCCCCCATTCCCCACGGCCTCCCTGATCCCCTCTACGCGTGCGCTCACCCAGCAACCCCGCTGACAACTCATGGCAGAATGCTAGTTAAAAATTATCAGTATCCCCTAGAAATATGGAGTTGTCGGTACATGATAGCGGGAATACCTTGGAGGGCAATAATATATGGAGTTTTTTGTTTTTATTTCACAGAGAACATTTTGTGATACAAGGCAACTTTTTTTTCCGAAGGATCCTTGTATGCCGGAGGTCTTACGGCTACGCAGATAGTGGGGAATCTTCACCAGAAATCCCAACGCACAAAGAGGAACATCATTTTACTATATTTATCACTCAGATATGAACAAACCCCATCAAAAACCACACTTAGCCATTCCCGCTCAAGTCCAAAAATTTGCATACTATCCGTATGTTGGTTTGGTCAGGCTAGTCAATATAAAGTAACTGATAGAGCGGTAGATTGGAGTGCATAGTAACCAAATCTCCAGTGAAGTGGTCCATCCGGTCGCAGAGCCAGCACTGTCTCCTAGTGTGTCCGCATGCCTGACCCATACTGCCGGGGCACTCAAGCTTGCTGCACATATGTTCCCGGGAGAAATGTACTCTAAAGCAAAAACAGCAGCAGGGGGGCAACCACATGTGGCCTCAAAATGGCCAGTCTCCAAACACTTTCTACAAACCTTCAGGGGTCTGTGTTCCTCAAAGATCCGGATGTTGCAAGCTCCTCCTCGTAGCCAGAATTTCCCTTCGGCCAGTCTTTCCTTGATGGCCTCGTTTCTTTTGACCACAAAGCGGATACCACATGTGGTGGCATTAGCCTGTCTCATGGCATGGATAGATCCCATAATGTCTAGCCGGGGAATAGTAACTACACCTGTGTTGGATTGCTCCAAGTCAGTGCAGAGGCTATTGAAGGCTGTGCTCCCAGTCCACCCCTCAACCCTCCAAATTGATCCTCGCCCTGTGTCAGCAGATGGGACACCAGAAACAAAGATCTTCATCTTTTCCAGATTCCTCTAGAACTCAAACTCTGAGAGTGATAGCTCTCTGAGCAGGTCAAGCCTGACCTTGTCAAGCTAATTACCTAGTTTAGTAACAGAGTGTGCTGCCAGAGTCAAAAAAATACAACCAATCTCAGGCTGGACGTGCCCTGCACTGATATAGGGAGCATTGCCCCGAATCTTTCCTTGATTGGAGAAGGTCATATTAATCTGATTTCAGATTGTCTCAATATCAACACTATCTGGTAGGGCAACCTTTTTGCAGGTAGAGAACCGCATAGCGATATGCCTTCTCCTTGCATCCAGGGTTGGCAATGACTGTGGTGGTGCCGGCACTGAGTTGAGTGGGTTAGGGGGCCCATCGGCACTTGCCGGGACTCTTGCTACGTAGGAGCAGTGGCTATTTTGATGTAGGCTAAGGCTGTGGGCTCAGACTGGACTGGCAGAGTACCAGGTGCGGTATCTACAGGAGTTAGTTCCTGCCTGTCAGTGCTCTTCTCCTGAGTCTTGGCCCGGGTCGTCAATTTCTTATCACTCCCGAATTCTCTGGCAGCCTTTCTTCTCCTTCTGGCAGTACCACTTAGGCGCCTGCCATGTCTCCTTCCCTCCTTCTTCTCTT